GACAATTTTCCCTCAAATCTTAATCATAGATAAATAAATCCATACATTATGAGAACGTTTCTTTCATAATTATAAACTTATATCAGAATGTTATTATGTTACAATCATTTTGTGGTCTCATAATTATGAGGAATTAAATCATCAGATTTACTTTGAATTAGTATGTAAAAGGCACAATTTGGACATGTCAGGTCATAATTATAGTGTAGTAGGCATAATTTATAAGAACGCGTTTCTCATATTTTGTCCAGGGACGTTTGGTCTTGTAAATGGCTTTCCAAGACCTCAGGCAGCTGCATCCTTTAATGAATGTTACCACACAGGTAGCGGCTGATAAGTGTTTTCTATTTGCCTGGCTTTATACGGGAAATTAGCCGTTCTGTTTACCTTTTTTTTTATATAGTAGTTTCAGCTATTCTGAAAAAAAAATATTGTATTTTCCTTTGTACTGTTTGACTCGATCTCTGTAGGGTGTTGTTTTAGTGTAAGCGTCAGATTTACGGTTTGGTTCCCTGAGAGCCGACTTATCTTGGCAGACCTGGGGAGGAACACACAACACACAACAACGACACACACACACACACACCACACACACGCACACACACAGGATCAGACAAACACACACATACTCAAACACACAAACAGTGATGAGCATGGCTGGCAGGTGGAGCCTTATCTGCACTCCACAGCGGCTCACCTCTCTCAGGGCTCAGTCGGCAGCTTAGAACCGGATGGAAGCAGCCAAAACTAAGGGGAAAAAATCACTTTCTGTCCTTTTATGTCCAATCAAAGCTGCTTGACACTTGAAGCATTTCCAAATATTTTGAGTTTATGGCTGAAATGTATTTACTACTAGTACCTGTGATTGTTGACAGATTGGTGGCATGTATAATAGCGTGTGTGTGTGTGTGTGTGTGTGTGTGTGTGTTCTGTTAGTGTCTACCCTGCTGAAGTTTCCTTGAGCAAGACACTACTGTTCCCCTAATGTAGCTCTGTGGAAGTTATTCTGTATTCTGATCTGATGCCAACAAACAAAAGAAAGAACAGATTTCCTCTGCAAAGACCAAAAACACCCTTATGAGTAATGTTTTCATATATATATATATATATATATATATATTTGTAATTTCAAAATAATTTCTGAGATTTTTCCTGGGAAATGTTGGTAATTTGGTCATAACTACAGGGGGGAAAACAACTGGTACAACTGGTTCCAGTTAATTAGAGTCTTCAGTCATAAGCAGGATAGCTTATAACAATCATTCAACACACGTATATGGTGAATAAAGTTTCCAATCATTGGGTTTAAATGGAGCAGTTCTTTTAAGGACATTTCTCTTTTATGCATATGTTGTACCACATTACATAGTTTTTTTTCTTGGAAGCTCCTTGGAAATTATTAGGAAATCATTTGGAAATTGCAGACCCGTAAAATTAAAAGCTACCAAAGTCACGTCGTTTAAAGATTTAGGAATTTTGCCTTGCAACTTGGCTGGCTGTAAAAGTAAATTAATCACAGTTAAACTATTTTGATCATTTTTTAAGCAAAATTGCAAAACATTATCTGATTAGCCCCTCTATTTTTCTCTTTTATACTATATAACTGTACTTTGAATTGAAATGTTTTGGGTTTTGGTCAGAAAAATAACCAATTTTAAGACTCTAGGAAATTGTGATGGGGATTACTATTTTTTGACATTTCATACACTAAATGATTAAACACCAGATTAATAAATGAGAAAATAATAGCTACTATTTTGGAGAAGTAACGACAGTTCAGCCATGAATGACAAGGGTTCAATCCACAAACACGGTGAAAAAGAAAACCAGTCATTGTAGGTTGTTTCATGCAATCAAACTAGATAGTGTCGGCTTTAGATCGCAGACCCTCGTTTGATAAAGATTTTGTCATAAAGACACCTCAGTCTCTCTTATGTTCTTAAAAGATGAATTTTACATTTTAATCAAATGTTTGTATGTAATGTTAGGCCTTATGATTAAAAAACCTCAGGTTAAATATATAAAAAAAGATACAAAAACTAAAGATTTATCCCTGTTTATGTATTTTCTGTTCAGTATGTTATCTCAGACGGTACAAGTGGAGAGTTAAAAGATAACAGAAGGGGGTGAAACTCTGATCAAAACCGTTTTTATTGGCTGTAGTGTAGAGTGAAATCCAGTGTTCCACATTTTTCAGGGGACCAGCGGGAAACACCTCCAGGATCCTCGAATCTCCTTGAAACCTTGTTAGAAAACCACAGGTATGGACTTGTTCTTCTTTACTGTCATTTGTGTGATTAGCAGACTGCTGTGTTCACTGACAAACCATGCATAAACAGGAAAATAAAACCTTCCACACTGCATGAGCCAAACTTTCAACCTGACAGTAAATCTAATAAATCATAACTGAGGTTGATTGGGTGGAAGCTCCAGCAGATGGACTGGAGAGATGTAAATTTGAGACCAGGCTGAAGATGCCTGGAGAGAGCTGGGCCCTCAGAGGGAAGCCGGGTGTTCAAACGCTCTGGGTTCAGGATGTTATACCACCGATTTTATTGCTTTTCCAGCAGGAGGGCCAAAGTGTGTCTGCTGGTCCATTCAGAGCAAGATATCTTGACAAGTAGGGGCCAGATTGCTATTAAATTCAGTCTGGATAATGACGTGCACAGGAAAGATTTTTATGACCCTCTGGCCTTCCATCTGGGTCAAAATGTCCCCTTGAATAACATTTGAATTGATATTTTGACTTATTCGCTCTCTTGTTGAGAATATTGATCCACTTTCTGGTCTGTATGCTAAATATGAAGCTGGAGACGATTAGTTTAAGAAACAGTCTTACACATGAAACTCCTGTAATGACCACAAATAGTTGTTTTACACTTTAGTTTTTATATAGATTAAACAAGCAAAATATAAAACATGTTAATCTTTGGAAGGAGCCATGCCAGCTCTTTCTTCCTGCTTTCAATATTTATGCTAAGCTAGGCTAGCCGGCTTCATATTTAACAGACAGGCATGACAGTGGTATGAATCTTCTCATCTGACTCTCAGCATGAAAGCAAATAAAAGTGTTTCCTAATGTTTACCACTCATGCTATTATCCACCTAAAGTTCATTGAGCACATTAAATATAAAAATATATCACAGATTGCCATTAAATTAAAGATCATTTTTTGATTTTAATGACCCCTATGGCCTTTACTTGGGCATTTTCCTCAGAACAAACTTAAAATCTTTTAGCTCTTTTATAAAAAAAAAAACAGAGTAAGAATATCATTATTTTGTTCATCCATCCAATACTTTTATGGGCTGTAATGGACTCTGCAGCCGTCAGAGATCACTGGCAGAATTAAAGACGTTTATTCTCCTTTATAGCAAATATTCAGGTTGAACTTGTGGCATATATATACATACCTTCATTCAATTCATCACCATTTTAATCATTTGATTCTGTCAAACAAGTGATTTGTGCAGTCTGGAGCATCTGTCACATATAGCTAACAGTGCACATTTATCACTTTCAGTGCTGCAGTCAGAAGCTAATGATGAACACAACGATGCAGTACAAATGCTGACTGGGTAAGAAGTGTGTGTGTGTCTGTGTGAGTGAGAGAGACAGACGATGGGCGTCTTTATCAGCACTTAATTTTCCTTCAAGACCCAGTAATTTGGTGAATTTTATGAACATTAACACATACGTCCTGTCAGACACACTGACAGTCTGCAGTGTCACCTCGGACAGAAATCACTTGAGAGAGACTGTAACAGAGATATTTTTGGAGCTCTGCATTACTGCAGAATGTAGAGAGAGTTTAGAGATTGAATGTAACAGTATGATGAGATTAGGGGTTTAGGTACAAGAGAGGATATTTACCAACATGCAGGTGCAGCACAGGTTATGTATTTCGGGCATTAGATGTTGTACATTTGATCTCTTTATGTCCTCGACGTGATGTCTGAATCTAATCCTTGGATCTGCTTTAAATGCTTTACACAATGATTTTTTTTAATTTAAATTTTCTTTCATCATTTTTTTGCCCCTTTTTTTGTGTTTGTGTTTAAAGAGGAAATGAGAGTTTGATATGTTTGTTATGACTGGCTTGTCTCTGGATTCATCAGAAAAGCAGTTGAATTGGTTTAAAGGTCAGCTTTTTTTTTTTGTAGTTCATCGAGTGACCGGTTACTGATGCCAAGACGCTCCACAAAAATAATTAGACGGTCTTTTTTGCCCACAGCTGTGAAACTTTTGAATGAGCAGTGATACTTGCTTATAGTTTAGATATAGGTTGTATTTTTGACAGAATATTTAAGGTTTTATTTCACAGTTAATGCCTATTTTGTGGCTCCAATTTCAACCTTGTCACTTATGGTTAGCCCTTTATGTAGTTATTTTTGGGGCCTTGGACAACTCAAGATAGACTGGAAAGAGGGAGAGAGAGAGTTGCGGGGGAAGACATGCAGCAAAAGGCCACAGGTCAGATTCAGATTCATGCAGCAAGGAGTCAGCCTCGGGTGGTGCACCAGGTGAGCTACCAGGGCGCCTGACATTTAATTTATTAATAAAAGATTTATCCAATATGTTGTCTGCTGTGACCGGTCAGACTTGTATCTGTTTGTTATTTGTCATTGTGCATGGGCGAACAAATTATTTTCCCCTCCAGGAAATGATAAAATTATCTAATCCAAACTTGCTTCTCTCATGCTGCGATTTAGATTTTGCATCAGTCATACAGCTGAATAAAATTCAACATGCTAATGAGACAAGAAAAATACCTCCCGGATCCCCTTCTGCCTACATCTTCATATATTAACTGTGTCAAATGTTCCTCTTTGCCTCTCATCTAACATCTCAGGAGAAAGCAAACTGCCTTGCCACTGTCATGTTTTTAGCCAAATATTATCTTGTGATATGGTTGTGTATTAGGGTAAGATCGTAACACCTGTCTCTGTTCAAAGATGGTCTCAGGTGGGACATGAACAGCATCCTTGATCTTTCTCTGGACACTGACTTCTGTTTGATGACTTTGACCTCTTCCCAGTCGATGCTGTGACAGCTCATGTTCTCTGTTTCTGTCTTTCATGGTCCTTGAAATTTCAGTATCCAGCTGTTCAGGCACATCACATACCACTCCAGTTTTCCACTTAGAGCTCTTTTTAGGACCTCTTTTCTATGTGGCATTTAAAGCCAAAACAGAGAATCCACAAATATTGAGCCTACAATCCATGTTAGTTTTAACATGTTATATGGACCATTATGAATAAATTACACCACACATATAAAGATTTTTTCAATTTAGGGAACACTCTTAGTTTGATTGGTAACCCTGTTTGCATTATTTTTTGATTTGATATGACATGAATATACAATAAGAAATAAGGCAATTAAAGCAGCCCATAATGATACTACAGATAATTATCACCTGAATCTGCAGCTCTCCTCAGAGCTTTATGGCAAGTTTCAGCTCATTATTTGTCCAGCCTTACTGTTTTGGTTCATGCTCGCTGCTCTCATAGTGTTGTTTTTTCGGCAGCAGCAGGCAGCTGTTTTTAGCAAGAAACCCTGTTCACTACCAGCTCAGCACCAAACAGCAGACAGAAACAGTTAGCACCTAGCTGGTGAAGCAGTAGCTATAAGACAGTGAATACTAGACTTTCACCAGGTGGCTGCAGACACAACTCCAAATGAATCATTATGTTGCTGCATAACTGCTGGATGTGTAAATAAGCAACGTTCGCTAACAAGGTGATGATTTAGATGTCAGTGTACTCGCAGTATATTTCTGCTGCCCCAAGTGGCCAGAATAATGAGTCATGTTCTCCTTTCCGAGCCTTTTGTCTTACAAGTATGCATGTTTAAATAGTGCTACCGGTGTGCTTTAATAGCACACTGTTGAAGGTGTCCTGAAATGATGAGCAGTATTCGCTAAATAGAACACAAGTTATAAGATATATGGACAAAAAAATCTGATTTGGGAGAGGAAATATATGGTAGAAATATTGGGAAACGAGAAGTGAGCGTGTTTTTCCATTAAAAACAGAGCAGGATGAGGAGGAGGAGGAAGAAGCAGGAAGGAGGAGGAGGAGGGAGAGCGTGGTGATTTAGTGCTGTGTCAGCAGTAAGGCATCATCTGGCTCTCCAGAGACGAAGCCACTGTGAAGCTTTATGACTTTTTATGGAGAAATTACGATGTTTCACAAAGAGATTATCATTACGAGCAAACCTGTAAAGGTGATGAAGGTTTCCAGACTTGACTTTCTCGTGGTTCTAATATGTCTGTCTGTCTTTCTGTCTGTCTGTCTCGCTGCCTGTGTGTCTGTAGCACAGTGCTTTATATTAGTTGTATGTGCTCTGAAAGCAGTATGTCCTCGAGTCTTTCTCTTCCTTTCCTTCTCCACTGTTTTGTGCACTGAAAGAAATAAGGGCCTCTCACGCTGTCTCTCTCAGAGTTTCAAGGTTTTTAGAGTCAGTCACATCTTGTGTGTGTGTGTGTGTGTGTGTGTGTGTGTGTGTGTGAATGAGAGGCAGTACTTCAAACACACCAAAGTGGGCTAAAGTGGGTTGAATTTACAGGAAGCTCAGAGCTGCATCTCTTTTGTATCCCTTTATGTTTCACCTTCTCCCTCCCTCTCTTCTCTCCTCTGCTGTAACCTTTTCTCTGGTGAGAAAATGCCATGTCAATAAAAGCTTTTTAACATGAGGAAAAATCAATGTGCTCCGATTGCACCTTTTTTCAAGCCTGCCTACCAAACGAATGAGCTGTTTCTGCTTCTGCTTCTGCACGCAGGGTGGCTAGGGTGGGTAAAAATGCTGTTTTCTAATGTCAAGTTTCAGTAGTTTTACATACTTTATATATTAAAATTGGAATGAAACAAGCTTTTTGAGGCTCCTGTTTATGTTAACATGGACACTTTGCACTTTAAAGTGCTTTATTAGTCACAACTCAAACCATCAACTTTTATTGTCCTGAAAGGGAAAGCAGGCTTGCAGGCAGGGTTGCAATAAAACTGCACAATAAAAAAGTAACATAAAAACAATAAAAACACATTATCATAACAACTCAACAAAATGTATGATTAGTATACCCATACCAAATCAATCTCTCATTGAAATGATTGATCTGAACGTCTTTGTTGACCCACAAGAGTGATATTTTAATTTTTATGAGTTGAGAAAGAAATGCAGCCCCTTTTTTCTCACATAGTCAGATGCATTCCTTGCTATATTAGAAAATTATATCTCTATTCACAAGACTTGATTTTTCGATTTACATGTAAAAAGTGTTAAAGCAGCACTTAATATTTTATATAGAAAGAAATATAAATAACTATTAACTGACCACAGATAATTATCACCTCAACTCTGCAGTATTTTTTGGGGCTTTTATTGCCTTTATGATAGGTGACAGCTGAAAACAGACAGGAAAGGGGGACAGAGAGAGAGGGGATGACATGCAGGAAAGGACCACAGGTCGGATTCGAACCCTGG